TCCACTCCACCCTGGACTCAGGCAGTGTGCACTCCACCCTGGACTCAGGCAGCGTCCACTCCACCCTGGACTCAGGCAGCGTCCACTCCACCCTGGACTCAGGCAGTGTCCACTCCACCCTGGACTCAGGCAGTGTCCACTCCGTCCTGGACTCAGGCAGTGTCCACTCCACCCTGGACTCAGGCAGCGTGCACTCCGTCCTGGACTCAGGCAGCGTGCACTCCACCCTGGACTCAGGCAGTGTGCACTCCGTCCTGAACTCATCCGTCCTGGACTCAGGCAGCGTCCACTCCGTCCTGGACTCAGCCTCTTGGAGAAGGACAAGCAGGAAACAAGTCCAAAACGGGGTGACCCAAGACTTGGCTGTTGTCCACCTGGTGACAATCACCAGGGTGAGGCCAAGACAGCTCTCACCACTCCCAGCCCAGTGGGCCCAGGATGGGAATGCTGTGCGTGTGAGTGTCTTGGGGCTGCTCTCTCACATTCTGGGGCCCCCAGTGCTCTGGGAAGTCAGCAGCCTCCTTCAGTGATGTCAACCTGCCCCCTGTGAAGTGGGCCACTTGGGTCATGGATGAATAGGACACAGGCCCTTCCCAAGAAGGACAAAGGGCCAGTGTAGGACAGAAGAACCAGCCTTGCTGAGGCTCTGCCAGCTGGTGGCCATGATGGGCTGCCTTTGGTCCTGGCCCTGCCAAGGGGACAGGAGGGGTTCTGTGCAGACCACACCACCAGTGACCATGGCTTACTGGCCACCATGGTGGGCCCTGGCTTTTCCAGGGGGCCAGATCCACAGCACTTTGAAAAGTACTTGTTTCGGGGAGGAAGGGATTCTGCAAATTCCCAACAACTGTTCCATTTTTGTCTTATCCAAAAGTGTCTATCTAAGTCTCAAAATTTTGCAAGTAGATTCAGGGTAAAACAGGAAAGCAAGGTTGAGCACTGTTTAATACCAAGAATAAAAAGAAGGACCCAAACCATCTAACCACACACCAACCTACAACAATAGATAAGTTCTCAAAGGAAAGCCCTGGCCGGGTCTCATGCGTGTGCAGGGCAGGGCCCTTGGGAAGCACAGATTTGTTTAGCTTGATCCAGAGCTCCAGACTAGACAGTGCAGGTAGGGAGGCCGGGTATGTTCCTTCCTGGCAGAAGGGAGGGTCGGGAATTCATGTAAATCACTTTATGTGTGTGTGCACACAACACACAGGAGCGTATATGCACACACACATAGAAAGGATGTCCCGTGGCCCCTTCAAGCCACACGTCTGTGCTTGAAGGAAGTGAAAGGCAAGACTGGGGGTCCCATTGGCACACCCCACCTTCTAGCCTTTCCTCCTTGACCCCTGCAAACTGGGGCCCCTCTGCAGCTCCTGGAAGGAGAACTGCATAGCTCCGCATGGGGCCGGCAGTCATGCCGTCCGTGGGCATTGGCACCCGTCTGCCTTGCAGCTGCAGAGCCAGGTGGTCTGCAAGGCGTCCCTCCCCAGAGCCCTTGGAAGGAAGCCCCTTATTAGTTAGGGTTGGGTCAGTTAGCAGATTTATTTCAGATGTGGGGCAGCAACACTGAGGCAGTCTAGATGTGGCCCAGAGGCCCCATCCCCGGAGGTGCTGAGTCCGGATGAGGCAGAAGCACAGCATTCTACCCCCGGATCCCCTCCATCCAGTGAGCGGGTGGAAGAAGGCCCAGCCTGTCTACCACTGTCACTCTGCACCGGGCCCTGGCCTGCAGGCTCTCCCCAGGGCTGGGTGGCTGTTCTGCCCTTAGTGCAGGCTGCTGGCAAACAGGCTGAGCAGGCATCCCTGAGGGCACCGGCCTCCTCCATCATTGCCACTCTACAAGGGTGTCCACACAGAGTCTACACGGCACACTTCTCCCTCACAAGAGGCCTGCCAAGGCTGACCACAGGGCTCCCATACAGCCATGACCACCCCAAGAGACGCCCTCCGGCCTGGTAGCTCTGTGCGTGGGTCTATTTCAAGGATGGCCTTGGGAAAGGGACTATCGGCTTTTCACTGAACCGGGTAACCAAGCCCGAGTCAAGAAAAGATTTCAGGGCAGTGGAAATATTTTACTGTCACTCAGGAAGAGAAGCAAGTCCCTGAATTGCACTAAGATTTCCGGAACTCTGTAAGAATCACTCCCAGAGGCCATTCCTTATCGAGGTGCAGCGGTCACCAAGCAGCCCGGACACTGGATCTCTGTCCTGATCCTGCAGGGCCATCCTGCCCCACCCCATCTCCGCCTCCTCATCTACAAGAGGGGATTAGCGGCTCACTACCTCTACGCCACAGACAGGGGCTAGCAGATGGGGACACAGCCACGCCCTAGGGAACCCTCGTTAAAAACCCGGGGCTCTGTCCTTCTGCCTCCATCCTGCAGCCACCAGAAGCAGCCCCCTGATTGAAGGACAAGGGGGCACACAAAGGAAGCTGAGCTCGCCCTTCCCCTGCCCTCACAGACCCAACACAAAGCAGGCCCAAGTGACAGGAAGAGGGAAGTTAAACCTGGTGATTGGATGACCCAACACTCCACATATCTCACTATTGCACCCCACATATGTCACAACTGCACCCCACATATCTCACTACTGCACCCCACATATCTCACTACTGCTCTCCACATATCTCACTACTGCTCTCCACGTATCTCACTACTGCACCCCACTTATCTCACTACTGCACCCCACGTATCTCACTACTGCTCTCCACGTATCTCCTGTCTCTTATACACATCTAGATGTGTATAAGAGACAGTCTCACTACTGCACCCCACGTATCTCACTACTGCTCTCCACGTATCTCACTACTGCTCTCCACGTATCTCACTACTGCACCCCACGTATCTCACTACTGCTCTCCACGTATCTCACCACTGCACCCCACTTATCTCACTACTGCACCCCACGTATCTCAGTACTGCTCTCCACGTATCTCACTACTGCACCCCACATATCTCACTACTGCTCTGAGACCTATTTTTTGACTGGATATGAGTGGATGGCTTTTTACTACCTAAGAATGTGCCATAAATGAATTGTTTTAAATTTTATCTAAAGTACAGCAAAGAGCAAGTCCCAGGGAGGAAATCTGGAGGGGTCGTGCATGGAAAGCTGAGCTTGTGTGTTAATTTTATGCCATACACTCTATGTTTTCAACATGGCAGGTGCCTATAAAACACACAGCAATCACAGTAGCTGAAATGTGTGTCTGTATCTTCTATGAGCATGTAAATAAATATGCATTGTGAAAAACTGTGTTAAGAAAACGCAGCCCGCAAGGAGGGCGTAAGCCCGTAATACTGTTCTCAAATAGGGACAGCGTTGCCTAGTTTATTCCCCATTACCTTGAGAAAACATATTAAGGTATTTTTCATATTGAAAACAGTTGATCTTTGTAAAAATCAGATCTTAAAGTCTGGCTTTTGAGATAAACGGATTTACACTGCTCCTCGTGAGTGCTTCTTGGAGAATATATTGTTGATGATCATTTTAAAGCCCCTAATCATAGACACATACCCCCAGAATACCTGTGACAAATGTGTGTGCCTTGCCCTAAATACTTTTCTTAATAACCAGCATTCTTTAACAGTCATTGATTTTGCAGGTACCTTGGAGGTGCGTGGGTGGCACCAGGGGCTCACACACATAACGGGGTCTGCGTCTCAGTCATTCCACCGTGGAAGTGCTTATTCTACGGCTCTCCGGGGGCCACTTCCGGGGTCCACTCTGACATGCTTAAGTACTCTTTGCTTTGGGCCTCTCCACAAACTCTGATGATGTTGTCATAAAATTCTCCCTTGAGTGGCAGGGAGAACTAGTTTATGGAGGAAAATCAACAAGTTGTAAGACTATGGGCGCTGAAGTTCTTCGGGGAGCATGCCATACATTTCCACCCTCCGAGAGAGGCATGGCGGTAATACCTTTCCGTGCAATGCCTCTATTGATCAAATCCAACTCTGAGATGTGAAGTGCTCCCCAGTGGCCTTCAATGTAATTTCCCTCCTGGCAGTGATGAGAGACAAAGAGAACTGAGAAGGTCGCATGGAAGTCTGGAAGGAAGCAAAAAAGGCTGTGCTAAAAACACCCACGTCAGTCAGCTGACAAGCATTTATTTACTGCTCTTACAGAATCCAGCACAACCCTCCTTGCTGGTGGGGAAGAAGTGAGAGGATGCACTGTGAGCAATTAGACACTCC